AGTAAGACCAAGCTCAAAGGCAAGGGGCGCTTACGATTATGTTTTTGGTTAGTTCAAACTCTTACTATCTCACAGTATGAGAGTATCTCTCTATGAGGTACCAGAAGACGAAACTCGGTCGAGCCACAGAGAGAACTGATCAGCATACGCCCAAGAAAGTATGAGGCCGTGCGACGAAGAGCGGTCTCTACGAAGTGCATCACCAAGGTCGGAAAAGTACCTTGCAGATTGGCAGTCAATCCCATTTCAGCAACCGCAGGGGCTTGACAATCTGGCGTGCTTGGAAGGACAAGGAGCGGAGAGTCAAGATTTTGCGAGAACATAATTTGGAGGGGCTTGGCAACGCAACACCCATTGTGGCCCGTAGCTGCAGGATAGACTTCCATTGCGCAGATCATTTCCAGACGAGCAGAAAAAGAAAAGTCAGGTCCCGCGACGATGGAATTGTGCACACAAGCAAGTGACGCGGTTCCCTCGAGTTGGAAAAGCGATCGCTTCTAGGTCGAAAAACCGGGGGGAGGGGGGGTGGACAGAGTTCATTTCAGCCGTTCGTGTAACGGCTCCAACGTCTCCATTTCATCCAACGGATACATTTCGACACCCCAGAGAGATCCTCTCTGTCTCACCCCAGTCACTCTCTTCCCCAGTCTCTCTCCCACCCCCACCGCATCCCAAGGCCGCCGCGCTAGTCGCTCCTCGACGCGGCGCGTCAGCGCGGGGAGTTTGCAGACACCCCAATCTCTCTCCTAGGTAACCCATATGTCTCTCACCGAAGCCTCTTCTCCCCTTCTTCCCTTCCCTTTTGCCAATCCCTTGTTCCGTATTTACTTGCCCCTACCCTAGAGTGCAGAGTCATTTCTTCTCTTCTCTAACCCCACTCCCTTCACATCTTGTCTTTCACCCCAAGGTGTCAAAGACGAAGTTGCATCTCGTCCGCTGTACTCCGTAGAGCTTGATTTGCTTTTACGTCGGAGGATCTACCTTCGTAGTTATCTGCATTGGCTCGGAGCCGACGCAAATTTGACACACCACAAGATGCGAGTCAACAAGGATTGGGTGGTGCCGCGCACCCGAGGAACCAAGGGGCGAGGCCCTGTCGGGCTTCCATTACTGCTGTCATGATACCTGGCCCAGGACCTGGTCGGACTTGGAGATACTCTGGAACAAGTTGTGACTTGCGCTAAGTTCTAGTTGCTCGGATTGATCTGGTGCCAGGCAGATTAAACCCACCATCACGCCAAGCAGCGTGCCCACCAGTCTCCTCAACTACCGTTGGAAGACCAAGGTATCCACAGAGTGTATCCGTAGAGTGTATCCGTAGAGACGAGCTTCTAATCCCCAGAATTTACAGCCACGTAGATCTTAGGATTGCCGGGGGCCCAGCTGATGGGAGGTACTCACATCCACACGACGTCGTCGCGTCTGTAATTTACGCTTTGATCAGGGGAACAACCTTTGGAAGATTGGGTGTGATGAAAAAGAAAGGCGAATCCCAAGTCGTAGCATGGTCGTTCCGCGCGGAGCAGGCCCAGGGCCTTGTTATCCTGTATTCGAGCAACGACTCACCACAACAGCCCGATCCCAACTCAAGTCGCTGCTTAATCTCAGCTCAGTCTTCTCAGAGGCATAGAGAAACAAACATATAACTCAGCAGGGCCCTTCGTCTGAGGTTAGCTGAAAGCAGTTCATCAACACTCAGTCATCTTCAGACTCTCTATCACTTTGCTTTGAGCTCGCCTCCGTGTCCACCAAAAGACTCTCCAAGCCAACATGTCGCAACGAAGCTCCCAAGAATGCTCCGATCAGAGGTGCCGATGGCAGCCCAGCGCAGGTTGTAGCCTCCGTCGCCATATCTTCTACCATCACGGACCGCCAGGCCGGGCGCCCTGCGGAAGATATCATATCAACACTGGCCACTACCTTGAACGCCACAAGGAGTCCTGCGTCGATTGCGAGAACATGAGAGCAGCTGCAGAAGCCCTCATGCCTTCCGTTGAACATGACGGCGGTGACGATCCCGAGGGCGCTCCTGAGGGCAACCACCGAGCTCTCTCCGTCCACAATGGTGGGATCATCATTCATGGCTCAAACTACGGAAAGATCTCCCTGAAAATCAAATGCGGTTCTCTGGCCTGCGCTGGCGGTCAGAGGAGCTAGATTATTCGTCATGTCGACAAACACGTCAAGCACGACACCACGACTAGAAACAGATTCTAGCAAGAACGTACGATAACAGAATATTGGTAGACTGGCCTTCGAGATTGGTCAGAACTGGAGGGTGAATTTCAGAAATTTGGATAACAGGGCGATACAAGGGTGGTCAGGTTACGAGGGCAGCGATGGAGTTGCTGGGATTCAATGCCGATTTTGGTCTTCTTCACTTCACTTGGAGGAACTTATCCTATACTAGAATAAACCTTTTTCAAGCACATTGCAACTCACAGAGACCTCGTCACAGCTCCGTATATCTAAGGTAACTGTAGCCTACGCTCTAAGCTAGCATGGTAAATTTGGGACCCCGACTTGCCGCATCCCCTCGTCAGTTAATTGAGTACAAAAAGCTGGCCCTGCTTGGCAGCATGTCAGTGCTCTAGGAAATTTGATGCTCAATTGGACTTTTAAGACGAAAACGGAATAGCTGGTTTGGCTTTGGGACTCCGTGTGAGTGGGTAGGTGTGAGTTGGTGTTGAGTCCGCAGCTTGGGGGCGAGATTGGAATACGCGAGACAGGGTACAGACTGACCGAACTGACGAGATGTGCAAAATTTGAAACCGAGAATATTACCACGGATCAATACTTTGAGCCATTGTTAGAAGTTGGTATTCTAATATCCTGCTGCACAGGCCTGGGTTGGCCTCCGGGTAGCCCACCCGGTCTGGCCCTGTGCTGGAACCCACACACCCTCGGAAAGGATGAAGGAAGCCATCCATCATATTAATTGCATTAGCCGGAGGCTCTAGAGACTATTGGTGGTTGCCTTTTGTCGCCTTGTCGAGACACTGGGTTGAGTAAGGGTTTTCCGCTACTCATGAAGCGGTACTGGAGGAGGTTCACCCTCCTTCCAAGCCTACGCTTCCGTCAACTGTCACAAGAATCACCACGGAAACCCAAAACAGAAATATGACAAGCTTTGCATGGGACTTAGAGAGCCTTCTCTGTGCTTTTGAGGCCAAGGTCGCGATCGATACCAGGGGTTCCGCTGCACACACACACACACACTTACACACACACAGTTGCATCGCTTCTACTGTCTTGAGTCTAGGACAAGGAGATGATGGGTGCCGGAATCCTTCAGCTGCATGGGTTTTTAGTAGAAGAAGCAAAGGGGAGCAAAATTTGAGATGCAATTTTGTTCCAGAGACGCGCTGGTGGATAATGATGGATGGCGGAGGACGCCCCGCTGGAGACGTAGACGCGAATAGGTTTGGGACACTGTACTAGATTTGCCACACTTGACTGATATTCCTCATTATCATGGCTTGCATTTCAACGGGTTTCTTCACTTCGTACCCCTCAAGTTTCTTCCTCCTGCGAGTTGAGTTGGCAGCGGCCGCTGGCGGACCAAAGTGCAGGACACCGACCCCCTCCCCCTTTTTTTCTGACCCCCAGGACCAGCAGAGCATTATGAGCCCATATAGAACCGAATCGAATAGAAAAGAAAATCATACTGTTAGGAAGCTAACCCGCCTCGTCGAACCGCTTGATGCATGGCTGTCGCATCTGGCAGGCACACCTCTCGAGGGCCTCCTCGAACGCCAACCTGGTCAACAACGGGGAGCGCGGGATCGGCATTCCGGCCGCGACGTGAGTGTGAGCTTGATGTGTTCCTCCAAGAGAATCCTTTCACTCACGAACATGAGTTCTAACCTAAACTTCTTCGTGGAAGGGTTTGCAATAAATAATTTGGCGGTGCAATCGTGCCCCTGTCGACGGGGTGCAAGTGCGCGGCCGAGTGTCCAGGACTCGACCACACCAGCGTCGACCACACCGCCTTCACCCACGCCCGGTGCAGAACAGCAGAGTACTTTTATTGAAACCATTGGCGAAATTGGAGCTGAAAGTCAAGTGACCGACTTGGAAACACTCAAGGGGGCTCTTCACGCACAACGTGGCAGGGCACCAGGCCTGGTGGAGGATGTTCATGACGTTCGCGCCAAGTGGGAAAATTAAGCGCCGTCAGCCACTCGATCAGGAGAAACAGGAGTCTGTGATCATTGGGAGCGTTCGGGTCACGACCGCTTCTTGCGTTCGCAGAAACGGTCTCTCGCATGCGGCCGGTTTGACAGTTGGTTGGTTCGAGGTTACATTGGGAGCACTCGCCGTAAACCAAGTCGACCAAAGTAGGATACACAGCCCGATTAATCTGCCTTGCCAAAAAAATTCCTCTGATGGGATGAAATCTTGTCATGTAGGAAGCTGACGTGCGGCTGGATGCCTGGCTGCCTCACATCGTCTCGACACTGAAATTTTCTCCTGGCAATAAACGGCTGCCCTCAAGTTGTCGTTCCTTGTGCTTCCTTCTTGATGGCACCTTGGCCTCTGCAATTTTGTCGAAACTCCGAGGTTGGTATTCACTAGTCTTTCGTTTTCGATGTTCTAACTGTCTTGATTTGGATCAGACTTTGCTGTAACTCAAGCCTCTGTTCAGGACTACGGTAAGCCTACGGAAAATACTCTTTTCGAGCGGATACGGAAGGTAGACGTATCGACTTTCATTCTTGACCTCGATTGACGACAACTGAGAGATCTATGCTGACGTTTTCTCATGATTAGACCAAGAATCCCCGTTTGTTACCTTTCTCGATCGATGAAGCCAATACCGAACTTGAGTTCCCAAAAACACATACTAACCGAGGAAGCAAAGTCGTCATGTCCCACCGAAGGCCGGGCGAAACGGTTCTACTTATGCTCTTATACCCCTCGCGTCTTTTTGGAAGATGTCTCTGCCTAGTCCGGTAATGTTCAGCGAGCTCTCCTCCCCTTTTGAGCAGACGGTGTGTCTACCGACTCCTAGTCATAGTAGCATTTCCTTGCTCCTTCACCCAGACCACGAGATGCAATGGTTTTGCCTTGAGCCCGATCCTTGATCTTTCAATCCAAGCACGAGAGAACGCCTTGAGCTCGTCGGCCCGGTTCAGAGACTCGAATTCCAGAAACGAGGATGTGGCGACTGCAGAAGCATGGCGAGGAGAGAGGAGCAAAGAATAACCGCACCTTCCCGACGCTCTAGATGGGCACACATGTTGGCAATTACCCGTCTCAGGTAAGAAGCTTCCCACTAGGACGGCATCAGGGGTACGTCTGACTACCTCGTGGTCTCCCGTCTTCTTGCAACAAGGAGGGCCTATGTCTTGTGAGCCTTCACGCAAAATATTGTTGCTACGCCAAAAGAAAGGTTCTAGCCAGTGACACGGGACACACATCACATTGGCATTTGACAATGAATAGAATGGCGAAGCCGGATGTCTTGCTGAGCATCTCATGATACTAATCTGATAACCAGGATTGACGTGACGTGATGCCCTCACGGTGCCACGGCCGGGAGCAACGCGGTGCTGGAGTGACAATTATTGAGGGAGGTATGAGTGAAATATCATGACATATACCAATTAGAGATTCCCGTTGATGTACACTGCTACGTGAGGTAGGAAGAAGGGGATCAGCAAGTCGTCATGTCTAAGTGTACTGCCTCTCGTACCTCTGATCCCGCAACGTTCTGCACCGACGGTTTCAGTCACGCATCCAAATGGAGCTCACAACCCGCTTCCATCACACATGCCCATAGACGCGAGAAAACAGACACCGTTTTTCACAGCTTTGTGCTCAGAAGTTTTCCACTAGATGGGAGGTCAATAGGTGCCAGTGCCAAATTCCAAAAGGTTGTGATTAGCAATAGCAGGTTCACCCTACAGCACCTTGAGGGGCGAATAATAAACCATCTCCGGGCCAAGTAAGACCGCATGATGCCATCCCGAGCGGCCATGGGAGCGTCATGCAAGCTCTTGTGGTGTTCTAAACGCCCGCAATGCCGTCGACGCTCCTGAACAGTAGCCGGTGAGCACGAAACGGGTGGTCGAACCCCACGTGTTCGTCTCTCAACCCTCGAAAATGATGGATTATTTCTCCACGGCGGAGCGAGATTCGCAACTGCGGTATGTCAGAAGTTGGTCCGCTTGGAGAAGCCGGCATGATGGCAAGCCGGAAAGGGCCTTTCCTACGCCCCGAGCGGGCAGATCACCCACCATGCCTGTATGCAAGCCGGCAGCTCCAAGGCTTTGAGTCATAGACTGCATACATAGAGTCAGCGCATGATGCTCTCGTAGGGGTTGGGAGCTCGTGGCAACATTCGCAGCTAAGACTACTTAACCCATGCGTTTCCCTCTACCAAGTTACTAAGTAGGTGGATAGCATCGGATTCTGTAATCTCCCTTCGCACACAACCTCAATGCTGCCTTGCTCCAACATGCATGGCAGGATGCAGGTGACAAGGGGGGAGTTCTCCCCCGTGATTGGGGTTTCGATGCTTGGGAGGCCAAAAATGCGGCCGCTCTCACACCGCAGTGGGAATATGTGCAGTAAATCGCTTCCTCGGTCGTTAGGGTTCAGATTATAGCAGATTGATTACCGAAAGATTCACCTTCGATCTCGCGTGCTTTACTAGTTGACATGAAGCTATTCCAGCCAGAGTTGGTAGTATTTCGACCCCAATGACACCCATTGCTGGCCGTAGGCGTAGGCAACTGCCCACTATAGGTCGGAGTTTCTGAGAGTCGCAGGGTCTGGCTCATCTTTTTAGGGCCCGAGAAACAATCTGAGCGATAAAAGCTACAAAGCTCTGGAGGAACAGCCGCGGAGAGTCGTCCAAGATGGCCAGCTCTCAAAGAACAGCCCGGCATTCAGCCCCCAGGTTGCATTCTCATTGAAATCCCTGGCTACCTGCAGACGCTCATCTTGCTCAAGGGAACAAATTTGCCCCCCGGGGATGGTTACCGGCATAACAATTCCCAGTCTGCCTTCAGCCATTCGCCAATCCCTGGATGCCCTGGTTAGCCAAGTACAGCCACCTGGTCTCATGTAACTCCTGTCTATCCGACCCATGACACTGCGTAATGCAATAGTATCCTTCAGAACGCGTGAGGCAACCGCGTCGGTAGAGGTAGTAGCGTTCATGGGTAGATAACGCGCTCATGGAGCGATATCACGTGGCCGATGGATCACCTCGTCGCCCACAGCCCTCTCACATTGTCGGAATAGTCTTTGAAAAGAGAAGGAGCGGTGTCTGCGACGACCAAGTATAAATAGGAGTAAAAGATCCCTCTCGCTCTCTCTTCATGTGTTCTCTTAGCTGCTATCGAAATTTTCTCTCCCGACCCCTGATCGCGCACTGCTGAGTCCCTTTTCTCTCAACACCAAATTCCTTGGCACCACGAAGCGAAGATGTCTACCACCCAGCAGCCTCCGATTAAGTGTTGCTATCAATCCGGCTGCTACTGGGATCAGAAGTCAGACACCGATACCCATCGTACGCACATGCAGAAGCATGGTGAAGGGGACTTGGTCGAACACTGCAACATCGTCATGAAGAGTGGGATCGACATCGAGATTCATAAGAAGAACTGTTGCATCTATAAAGCTGCCATGGCTCTTGAGAGACAGAAGAAGGCTACCAAGTCCGCGCCTGTGAAGTCTAAATAGGTGAGATCATACCCTTGAAAGTAAATCAAAACGCAAGGCTCAAGTTGTGTGCAAAGACTTCAAAAGTCTGCCGACAATACGGAGACAACAAAGAGACGGATATGTTCTAAGAGACGAGGAAAGTAGGAAATTTCATCAGAGAGATGTGGGTGAATGTAGCAAGAAATACAACGCAAAATTTTGAACAAACGAAAAGGTTTCAGGAGTTTGATTGCATTCTGGGCATGCCACAAGGCTTGTATCTCGTTCTCAAGGATCCTAGGTAGATACACACAGTACCAATTGATTTTTGGGAGCTCCTCCCAACTCTCTTCTCTGAATAACGTACACAAGATACGACTATTCATAAAGCCGACTGGTTCCATTTGACCTGATAATGTGCTTGAAGTACTTGATCTTCGACGAGTTGAAGGTTCTTTTACGACTACTTACCGCCTTGTTAAACTGCCAGCTCTATTCATCTACGATTGACATATCACGCAGTGACCCGGGAGGGATCAAGACATAATTCACTTGAGAAGCTTTAGGGGCGAAAGAGTCTATTAACCTAGAAGTGATGCCCTCAACTCTCTCGTCTTACAGCGAAACATGCGCAGGCTCTACGTGGGCGAACGATTCAATAGAGAATGTCGTTTCAGGAAGGTCTTGACTACCCACCTATGCTTCGTCACCTTGATCCGATTCGTCTTCCGACCAGCCTTTCTAATAATCTTCATCGTCCTCCTCAAAATATACCGTAGCAAAGTCCACCAGGTCACAGCCCATTTCGCCAACAGTATCGAACAGAATCTGTTCCGGTATGACCGTCGGAAGCCATGCATAGTACTCCGTTTCAATTAAAGCGAATCCAAAGCTGAGTACGTGTAGTGGCGCGTCCTGAGGAAGTCGCAAACCTTGGTCGGGATCTAGCTTGATCGAGGTCCCAGAAAAGATGCTGTCCAGGCCACCTCTGCCGTCGGGGAGAAGGACGTTGTGTGCCCAAGCACGAACCATGCACCTTTGAATTTCTCTCACGTCTTCATGAGAAATTCTGAGCATCGCTTCTGATGCGTTGTCCTGAGCCTCCGGGATCAAGTTGTTCACACGATGGTCGATCCTTCTTGCACGGGAACTGATTTTGCGGCATGTATTGGATGAAATAGTAAGCGTCCCATCCTCAAATTTGATAAAACCCTTGTCAGTATGCCACTCCTCTTCGTATTGGCGGAAGATAGCCAAAGCCAACCACATGGCGCCACTCTTGATAACATCGCTTGGCACGTCTATGCAATGCCGCTGCAATAGCCCGTTGATGGAATCTTCGTCAGCAAAGTGATCGGGTGAAATGACGAAGAAGGGATTTAAAGCGTGGCACGTGAGCACGATAGCCGCAATGTCGATCATCGCGGACCGGGCCGTGGCGGGCGTGTCCTCTGTTATGCAGCTCAGAAAGCAGGCTACTGACAAGTCGTTTCCCGTGGTTGATAAGAAGTCAAGAGTCCTCCGGGCCTGGGAAATGTTGAGATGTACACTGACTCCATCCATGCCGTAGTAGATGAGCCCCAACATATAAAGCCGACGGATAGCCTCAGCGAATGCCGGCTCCTTGATAACGAAGCAAACACGAAGACGATCGATAGTAATTTCAGGACATTCATCCATCACATAGATGATGAATACCGGAAGGTGAATATCTTCGAATTCCCTTTTAGGTTCCGCGTCGAGGATGTCCTGTAGTGCCACTTGGGCGTGGATGGTTCTATCCGCCTGCTCAGCATCCTTATCCAAGGCGCAAGTTATTTGAGTCAGCATCTTGGCCCTCGACATCGCCACCCATTTCTGAACCACATGCGATGTCTCTGTGTCGAATACCTCCTTTATCTCGCTATTGAGAATAATCAAATGGTACGAGTTCTTGGCATCATTCAGCGATCTTCCCATCAAACCGGGGGTGATATAGATTGATCTGGTATCTTTCTCGTTAGCGAAGTACTTCCGAGCGGCCGCTAGAAGCGTTCGTCTCAGATGATGCCGCTTCCACTCGGAGTCTCCGTCCCAGAAGGCTATCGTTCTCGTTATCTTGTAATCCGACGGCCCCGGGTCCTGAACCATCGCATACGCTGGAGCAATAGCTTCCATCACAGCGTCTGGGTATTCCCCGTCGCTCGCTTTGTATTGAATCCATCTCAAATTTGACAAATTTGACGAATTGCTCCGCTGTGTCAATCGAAAAGCTGTGACGGGAGTCTCTGATCTGTTGGTTGCAACGGCGAGCATCCTGCCTAAATCTTTGTCAACGGGGGCAGATGACAACCAGACGAAGCGCAAAATAGTCGTCGGTTCGGTCTTCGCGAGAATGCTTAACTTGACTAACGAGATCGCATAGTCGACGCTCTTGGAGTGATCGGCGTCAATGATGATCAGCTTGTATCTGCAATTAAAGTCCGAGACGAATCCGATACCACCGTATCTTGATACCACGGGTCTCATTCCCACGGAATATCCAGCGCTGTCCCATTCGCTTTTTGACACCTGTTCTTTTTGGAGCGAACCGACGAGGTACCTGGACAAGATACCATTATCTCCGCTCGCCCTCATGCCTATGATATGCAAGACCAAGGCCAACCAACTACCGTCGTCGGCCGAGGGAGGTGATTGCACGTGAGCGACCGAATATCTTTCATCGCTCCCATACCATCTCGAGAGCTTGTCGATCTCGTTCTTCCATTCAGCCGGTATTTCAAGGCTCGGCGTCGCCATTTTTTCGTCGTGTTTCGATAGTCTGGCGGTCTGGCGTTCTGGTGTTCTGGTGTTCTGGGATGTACTAATTGAGGCACGTTAATGGAGTGACATGGTAAGCCAGGGATTTGGAGCAAGGTGCCTATCTAACGTGTGGAAGCGAAATGATCCATCCAGTATAACAGATACTTGCCTTTTCCCAAATTGGAAGGAACTCGACGGAAAGCTGAGCACCTAGACCGGCCCATGGAGGTGAGTACCTTCTCTCTGGGCATCTCACTCGATGGAAGGACATGAGGGCCTGGACTCCCTGCTCTGGGCTGGACAGAGGAAGACAACTCAGGTTGACTGAAAGTGTGCGTTGCATGTAAAGAGGCACGCAGCGCTAAGTAATTAGCTTTTGCGAGGGATGGAAGTTAGCGCAACGTTGACTGCACTGTACTTGGACCTTGTCAGCATCAAGACATGCTCAGTCTCGTCACATCACGCCACAAATGATTCTGTAAAAGCGTGTTGCATTTGACATAATTGTTCTCGATTCCAGTGGTAGCAGGAGGAGTTGACTCGTGTTGACCCCGTATCACAGTCCCGTCACCTTATAATGTAGTGAATCTCAATAGATGGGCCTGTATTCGGAGGGTTGTCAGTATGTTTGATTGAACGTGGGAGGGATGCTTCCTGATGGAAATGGGCTGCGTGGGGAGGGGCTCTCAGGTAAACCAGATAGGGCATTGTTCTATTCTGCATGCTAGTGAGTCTTCTGTACCTGGCAAGATGCTCTTCCTATTCCAGGTATTCGAGGTGGTCACCTCGCCTAAAGAGTCCTGTTCCCCTCCTGAACAGTCTGCTTCTCTTGGAGAGACTGAATCTTCTCTTGGAGAGCCTCTTCCTCATACTGGAGGGTTCTCTCACTCTCTTGGAGGGCTCTCCTTCTCGCTTGAAGAGCCTCAAGGGCAAGTGTTTTCTCTCGGAGAGCCTCCTTCTTCTGCTTGCGAGCCTTCTCCTCCTTGCGAGCCTTCTCCTCCTTGCGAGCCTTCTCCTCCTTGCGAGCCTTCTCCTCCTTGCGAGCCTTCTCCTCCTGACGAGCCTTCTCCTCCCGACGAGCCTTCTCCTCCCGACGAGCCTTCTCCTCCTTGCGAGCCTTCTCCTCCTGACGAGCTTTCTCTTGAATAGCCTGCTCTGATTTCCTATTCCTTTCGAATGCCTTTATGTAATCGTCGGAGGCCAACCGCGGGGGGGTGTCGATGCTCGTTGGGCTCGTTGGGCTCTCTGCGATGATCTTGACTTTCTCGGCTCCAGCGTAGTTGATTTTATCCCAGATTTCTCCAATTTGACGCTCAACACCCTGTGCATCCGTCGCCCAGATCTCGAGTGCGAAGCGAGATTCAAACTCACTGCAGGAGGCTTGATGGTCGAACTCGATGGTCCGAGGACGGAAACCACGCCAAGACACGCCGAGTGAACTGCCGTCGTCCTTACTGGCTTGACTATCTTCGTTTCCATCATCCAGTCTCCGCTTCTTCGTCGCTTGGCTGCCTTGGGAGTCCATGACTTCTTCTGAGAGGATGTGTGGATGTGGGTATGCGTGTGCGCGTGTGCTGGTGTGCTGGTGTGCAGTTGCAGAAGTGAGGAGATGTAAGTTTGTGTGAAAGATTCTGAGGGCAGGCGGATGATTATCGTAGGGGAAGCAGGAGCGTGGGCCGAATCGGCCTGTCTTTCCGAATTTTGTACGCAATTTGAGGCAGTCAGGCAGGCATATCTAACCAGAGTGACTAGGTTCCTTCCCGTCTCTATCACCTTACTGCGTTTGCCTGGAAGAATACTTCCGCCGTCATGCACTTTCCTGGGTCCTTGGCTTGACTTCCGAAAAGATCATGATTCACCTCATTCTCTAGGAAACGAACTCTTCATATTTTCACGGCACCTTCAAGCCGGAATTTTGTGAGCATTTGGCTAACAGCTTGATTTGACCAGGCACTTTGAGACGAAACCAAGACTATACTACAATAACATTCACACGAGCCAAATTCATCACTCTCGCATAAACGGCACCCTGGTCTCCCTGACGATGAGACGTCGCCCTCGCAATAGCGATAAAGTTCCCCGTCGTGTTGTAGACAACCGTGTGCTCAATCGTCACAGTCTGGTTAGGCGTGAATGCGGGCCCTACATCAGTAAAGGTGCCCTCCGAAGTCAGATCCCACTCGACATTGACAACCTTGCCAGTCCCGGAGGGTGTTTCGACAGTCGCTCGTAACGTCACCGACTGGCCGGCTTTCACCGTACAGCTGCATCTTCCATTCGCAAGAAGCTCAACAACCGGTTGAATACCTCGCCGTTCGGTCGCTGTAGGTGGCACCTGGACCGAGTTGTCGTCGGCCGAAATAGTATACGACGTGGTATCTGGCGCAGGCACTCTATCCTCCACCCAAGCTGCCACGTCTCAGAGAGCTTGTTGGTAGATGCCGTTGTACGGCACAATGAGTGCAAGACGGTGTGGAGGCCTTTTCTCGTAAAAGTGCTCCGCATTATCGTTGTACCAAAGGCGATAATTATCCTCGAAGCGATCTCCCAGTTGCCGCTTAACTTGCGAACGATACCAGTCGGCATGCCACGGAAACGCGTCGCTGTCCAGCAGGTTCTGAACGACGATGAGTTTGCATCCGATGGTACCAGTGTGATTGCCGCCAGAGACGGATCTGGCGAGGGACTTGGACGTGTCAGGGGTCCGTTGGGGGTAGTTCGTGCCATTGACGGTCCGGAACTGGTCGAATCCGTAGAATCCTGCTCGTTCCGGGATTTGGTGTCTGTAATAGGAGTGCATTGCAACAGAGGACTTGTTGTCGATGTGAACTTTAACTCCCTTTGCAATAAACTTTGTAAGAGTGGCATCGTTGGCGTCGGCAGTGTAGTCGGTGAACAACATGGTGTAGTTGGCCGTAGACAACGTGCCGCTGATGGTTCTTAATTTGAAATCGTCGGCTCCAAGAAAACCCAGGTCGTACCCGTAAACGTCAGCAACAGCTTCCGGGACTGTGTCGAGTCTGATGCTGACCAGCTTTCCATCGTTGTCAAGCTGAACATCCTCTACCGTCGCATTGAAGTCAACTACGGCCTCTCTCATGGTGGTTCCGAGCGCACTATCCACCGTTCCGAGGTAGCCCGGCTTGGACCAGAAATCTTCGACGTATGTAGGGTCCGAAGGCTGGATAATGGTATTCCGCAGGATGTTCAGATGTGAACTGTCAGCGACCTCATCATACTGTTCCCAGGCACGGATGGGGACACCAAGCTTTGTGGCTTCAATCAGCATGCTTCGCTCGAGCTCCGTCATTGATGGTATTGAGAGAGGATTTCCACTACCCCCGGGCTTAAGGGAATCCTGAATCTCGGTCTTCCTGTTCCGTAGAACTAAACCCGCCATTGCCCTGATCGATGGGCTGTTGGGGGCGGAAATCGGCACGGCTTGGACCATCGCCACAGCGCCGTCCCAGACGCCGACTGTATTCTCAATACCCCCAATAACTTGATTAGAGCCACCGCTGCCGCCGTAAACGTAGCCATAGATATGCTGAGTGCTTGTGAGACGATAATATCGCGCCGCAAAAAATCCGGGAATACCTTGCTGCTGCTGCTTCGGCACGGAACCCGTTTGACCCCGTGACTTGGACCGTGTAGGCCTTGCTGTCTAGCCCGAACCCAATGGTTTCCTCAGTGGCATTCGCGGACTGTGTAGGGTAGGCGAGTTGGAAGAAACGACCGCCCCAGGCATCTTTTGGCGGAAAGTAGAAGTTGAAGCGAGTGGACGTGTTAGAAAAGTGCCCCGCAACGTGGTGATGGGGACCTGGAGAGATCTCGTCGGCCTCGCTGTCAATCACCGGCTTGCTGTAGAGAGGATCTATGCAAGCTGGAGAGACCAGAGCAAAGCCATTAGAACCATGAGGAGATTCGCGTGGAGTTGTGGGGTTTGCCGCGATCGCTGAACAGACAAGTAAGGTCAGTGCGACGAAGGCTGTAAGCGAAGCTTGTAGATGCATCGAGTGGTTCGGCGATGTCTCTCAATCTGTGTTCTACTGGAAGACTTTGGGCACTGGGCAAGGACCTTGCCGTTGAAAGGAGCAGAAGACTTGATGGAAGTAAAGAGTGTGGGTGAATGCCATATAGTGTCCAGGGCGGGAAGCATCTTTGCGGTGAAGATGCCATTTTTAAGCATCCAGAGAGCAGCATCGCCAAGCCGAGTATCTCCTATGTGACCCCTTAGATCATTTCAATGGGCATCGCCAAGTTTGCGGGCCTCTGTATGGACATCGTTTGCTTGCACAGCGCTTCCCTCAGCGGCTCCGATGATTTTTCGTATCCGATACGACAATCGTTCCGACGTCGCACTGGATACCTGTGCCTCGTATCCAACCCATAGCACTCTAGACGACGCCGGTTCTCTGGCCTCGGTGGATTTAGATGTAGGAATAGCATGCTGCCATGTTTTGCTGCTGGTTCATGCGGCATGACCTAGAGCCGTTCTGGCGAATGGCCTTCTTATCAAGGCGTGTGTCTGAGGATCCGACTTTCCAGTACCAAGGGGTTGGCGCTCCGCCGTCGACAAGCCAGACAGCTCAGGCGCGCACTTCGTAGACATGATCCATCATAGTCTCGTTGAGACTTTTCAAGAAATCAGCAAGGGCCATTTTACTGGTCTCGACGTCGCCGTTTCCGTAGTTTCAAAAGAGCTGCGTTCACTTTGTGACTTCAGAGTGGAAATTGGCTGAACTTTGAAGACAAGTCATCTCCGCTGCCACGGATATGTCAGCTGTCGGCTGAATGCCCGCCACTACTCTGCGCTTCCAGATCTTAGACGCCTGCAGATATTCTTCAGGTTACCTTCATACCAACATCGGAATCTTCTTGACATGCTTTCTTCGAGGCATTGTTAGGGTCATATTGAGAAACGACTATTTCGAAAAATTAGGGAACCTCTGCTTGTTCGCCTCGTTGACTGCCTTGCGTACACCCGTAACATTCTGAAGCACCGTGGGATGATCAGAATGCACGCAGATACTGAATGGCTTTCCCTCAAACCCAAAGCTAAAGATCCCGCCGCTGTTATCCTTGCCCTCGTCCTTCAATGACGCAGACAAGGCCCTCTCGTAGCACAATTCTGGTGTAGCCACGTTGGACTGTGCCACGGGGATGAGCTTGCCCTCTGGGGAGTAATCAATGTCGACGTAGACCTCCCCTTGGAACGGGATGCCCAGCTCCTTGCACATAGCTTCTTGTGTGGCGTTTTGCGATGCGTATACCGGGATGTTGTCCCCAAACGTGGCGCATGCTTCCAGAACAGCCCTCATGATCGTCTCGTCTCTTTGCATGTAGAAGAAGAGCTCTCCATGAGGCTTGATGTGGGATAACTCGACGCCTTCAGAATTGAGTATGGCTTTGAGGGCGCCGACCTGGTACAGCACCATGGCATACATGTCTTTGGGGTCAATCTCGATCTTCCTCCGACCGAAGCCGAACATGTCTTGCAGTCCCGGGTGCGCTCCGGCCTTGACGCCGTGCTTCTTGCACAGGCGAACTGTCTTGAGCATGATGGAAGGGTCGCCGGCGTGGTATCCGCACGCAATGTTGGCGGCGTCGATGTATGGCATTAATTCCTCATCCGGGCCCATCTTCCAGCGGCCGAAGCCTTCGCCCATGTCGGCGTTGATCTCGTATTTGCTCGCCAGTCCTGAAGCCATTCTGAAGTGTTGAGATAACGGGCGATGTTCAGGGAGGTTTGAGCTTCGGAAGGCTGTCTGACGTAACGAAAGAAGATGGAGTAAGCGTGATGGAGGCATCTTGTCTTTGCTGCCTCGATGTCGTCTAATAAGAGCGCTTCAACGATCGAAGTGAGAGGTGGATGATACTCTACTGTTGGGGTAGACGTTTGGGGTCCATTACTCCAAAGGTCCGTCTTGGGGTATGCTGGATCAGGCGGTCCTTATCACTAAACTCCGCCGACAGGGGTTCTTGATAGTAGGGGGTGCCCATTGTGACCCCATCAATTGGTACGATGCGGGGTCGTTACTGCATCTGCCATCCACACACACCCTTTGAGGTACAGACCAACGACGTCAACTGAGCAAAGAGGTCAATCATCTTACCAGAAACCTACCACAGCCTACCGGGACCTCCACCCGACAAACCTTCATGCGCTTCGCCGATGATCCCTTATCTCGACCCGGTACTCCGGCAATGCTACTGGATGCGTTCCCCTCTCCTGGGACTCTAGCTGTTGGGGTAACGACATGAGAGGCATTCAGGGTAGCCACCGGCCTGGTGTGGGCGCGTCTTGCCTTCGAATCACTAATATGCGGACGAACGGAATGGGCTGATTGATATACTGGGGGTCACGAACCCAACTTCGTACGGTCTAACCCTCCATGTGCCCTCTAACCGCGTCCAAATTGTCGCTGACTTGTTCAAAGCCTCAATGAAGCTATGCATTCCAGGCCACTTCGTAGCATTAAGAAGGTCCTGGTGGCCAATCGTGGCGAGATTGCCGTTCGCTGCATCAAGGCCTGCCGTGAGCTCGATGTCCACAGCATTGCCATCTATACGGCCGCCGACACAACATCACTACATGCGTTGTTAGCTGACGAGGCGATCGCACTGCGGGGTAACGACACCTACACAGATGGGTGAGTGACGCCGAGTTGGCCGTAGCATCATGCTTCTAACAATCACATCAGAGACGCCATTCTAGAAATCTGCAAAAGCTGCGGCGCCGACGCTGTGTTCCCCGGATATGGCTTCCTCAGCGAGAACGCCGACTTTGCCGATGCCGTCACGACTGCAGGCAAGATCTTCATCGGTCCTTCATCCGCTTCCATCAAGGCCATGGGTCTGAAGCATGAGGCGAGAGCCATTGCTGAGGCCGTAAATGTCCCCGTCATCCCCGGTACTTCGTTAATTCCATCAACCCCCGAGGCCATAGAAGGGGCCAAGAAGCTGGGTTTCCCGGTCATGCTCAAAGCCACTGGAGGAGGCGGCGGTATGGGCCTGCAGATATGCTACGACGACGATGATATCCCAAAAGCATTCGTCACAGTCGAGAGTCGTGCGGGCGCTCTATTCAAGAACAGCGGCGTCTTTCTGGAAAAGTATTATCCTCGGTCCCGACACGTAGAGGTGCAAGTCTTTGGAAACGGCGAGCAAGTTGTTGCATTCGGGGAGAGGGAATGTTCTCTCCAACGACGTCACCAGAAAGTGGTTGAAGAGTGCCCCAGTCCATTCGTTGCGCGAAGGCCAGGTCTCCGTGGGAAGATGCTCCAGGCGGCAGTCGACTACGCCTCACAACTCAAGTACAAGAGTGCCGGCACTGTCGAATTCTTGGTCGACGATGAAACGGCCGATTTCTTTTTCCTCGAGATGAACACGCGTCTCCAGGTCGAACACGGCATCACAGAAATGTGCTATGGGGTTGATCTGGTTCACTTGATGCTGCAGCAAGCCGACTACGAGCACGGCGGCCAGCTCGGCATCCCCTCGGACGAGCTACGAAGAATCCCACAAGCACAGCCGAACGGTGCGGCCATCGAGGTCCGAGTATATGCTGAAGTGCCCTTGCTCGACTTTGCTCCTAGCCCGGGCCTTCTACAGCATGTCAGCTGGCCCAAGGGCGATGGTATCCGGGTGGACACATGGGTGAAGAGCGGCCAGCAAATCACACCCCTCTACGACCCGTTGGTCGCAAAAGTCATGGTACACAGCAATGACGGTCGAGCTGAGGCGCAGAAGATGATGCTCGCCGCTCTTGACCAAACTGTTTTGCAAGGTACACAGACGAACTTGCAGTACCTTTTGCAGGTGCTACGTTCTAATGAGTTCACCAAGGGCGATACGCTCACCTCTTTCCTACCCATTTTCAAGGCAAAGGTGTGCGCCGTACAAGTACTCAACCCTGGTGTATTCACTACGGTTCAGGATTACCCTGGGAGGCTAACGATCGGGCACGGCGTGCCTCCCGGCGGACCAATGGATGATTTGAGCAGTCGGACAGCAAACATTCTCGTTGGTAACGACGCTCAAGTCGAGGTACTCGAAGTAGCAATGTCTGGCCCGGAACTCCTTTTCCATGAATCGGCCGTGGTGGCCGTGTGTGGTGCCCAAGTTCCCGTCAGTGTTGACGGCAGGCACCAGCCGATGTGGTCCCGAATCCTCGTGCAACAGGGGCAAACGCTCAAGATTGGCAACGTCAGAGGTGACGGCCTTCGGACCTACCTCGCAGTCAAAGGAGGCTTCCCAGACATACCTCTTTATCTCGGCTCCAAATCAACGGCGCCAGAGCTCGCGTTCGGCGGTCTTCAGGGCCGTAAGCTGCAGATCAACGATATTCTCGGCCTTGCCCCTGAAACAGCAAGTTGGGCGGCGGCAGCCACTCCCTTTTCTTTACCACAAAAGGCAATCCCTGATTACGGGCACTCGGAGATATTCTGCCTTAATGGTCCGTATGGCTCGGAAGACATATTGACCCCCGAGGGTATGGCAACAATCACCAACTCCAAATGGACCGTCAGTCACAATAGTAGTCGCAGTGGCATTCGACTAGAGGGTCCACGACTAAAGTGGGCACGCACCACCGGCGGGGGAGGCGGATCTCATCCATCAAACGTCTTCGACTACGGGTATCCCAACGGCGGTGTCAACTGGACCGGGGAGTTTCCCATCATCTTTTCCCGCGACCGCCCGGATCTCGGTGGGTTTGCTTGCGCGGTCACCATCTGCTCAGCCGAGATGTGGAAAGTTGGTCAGCTGAAGTCGGGCGACAGCGTTCAGTTGCGACTGGTTTCCTTTGAGGATGCCATGAAGATCAAACACACAAACGAGGCCTACTTGAGGTCTTTGGGTGCTCTGGTGGATGGTAATGATACAGAAATTGTGCCACTCAAGTTGGAGTTCGGCTCACGGACCACAAGTTCAATATTGCACCTGGCCGAACCGAATGGAGATCATCCTCGCGTCACTTACAGGCAAGGTGGCGACACTTCCATCATAGTAGAATATGGTGAACAAGTTGCGGATCTGCGCAACACGGTCTGCGTTCATATTCTCGAGGGAAAGCTTGCGGCGCGCAACCTTGCGAGCGTGCGTTGTGAGCCGAACCTCGCTACGCTCACAGTGCACTACGACCCGCTCCAGGTCTCCCAATCCGAGCTGTTGCAAAGCCTGATTGAGCAAGACGAGAGTATCGAAGAGATTGTTGGCATCAAAGTGCCCGTTCGCGAAGTCAACCTGCCGCTTTATGTTGACCACCCCACCATCACAGAAGCGACGGAAAGATATATGGAGAGCGTTCGGCCCACTGCTGCCTACCTACCAGACAACGTCGAGTATCTGCGGAAGAATAACGCATTGGAGACTCGCCGCGATGTATTTGACTCACTGCTCAAGACACCCTGGCTCACAGTTGCAGTCGGCTTCTTCCTCGGAACCCCTGTCATGTTTCCGCTCGACCCCAAGTACGTGTTCACGGGGCAGAAATACAACCCTAACCGCGCGTACACTCCGAGCGGCTCAGTCGCACTCGGTGGGTCCCTGCTTGTCGTTTATCCCGTGGCCTCACCGGGCGGCTACCAACTCATGGGCCGCACGTTGGGTACGTGGGATATGATGGGTACTCGAGCCGGCTTTTCCCCGACGCGACCTTGGTTGTTCAACAATTTCGATATCGTTAGATTCCACGAGGTCTCCAAGGAAGAATTTGACCAAGTAGAACGAGACTTTGAAGCCGGTAGATATGTGTTCAACATTTCCGATGAGACCATCAGCATGGACGAGTACATTGCCAAGTTTGACGCCGCAGCCCGCGATCCCGCACATCAAGAATGGCGGCAGCGTCAGGACGCCGCTGCCAAGGAGATGGGAGAGCTCGAACAGCGGCTTTTCGGTGAATGGACTGCCGCCAAGGATGCGGCTCTGTTGGAACAGAGTGAAGGGGGCGGGGGCGATGCATCAGCAGATGCTGTGGCTATCGAGTCGCCCATGAACGCCAACGTTTGGAAAGTTCTGGTAGAAGTCGGGGACGTCCTTGAGGCGAAGCAGACGGTGGCGATCTTGGAAGCGATGAAGATGGAAATCAAGGTGATTGTTCCAGACTCTCATGTCGGAGCAGTCGTGACGAAGATTACACGCCCGCCAGGGACTGTCGTCAGTCCTGGGATGCCAATAATAGTGGGCAAGAAGGCCTCTTAGCCTAAGGTAGTAAGTATGCTGAGTTGCGACGATCCTGAGCTGCTGAATATTACGCTGTCAATGACCAAACGGAGGCTCCTTTTCTTTATCGTGACTTATGACTGCCGAGTGTAATGTGACTCCATTCATCTTGGCATGGGGTGATGAATTGAGCCAGACCCGACGGCCCGCCGGGGGTTGTGACCCACTTTCCCGGGGCTGACCGACTGCCGCTACCGGACTCTAGGCCCCGCTTGAGGTTGAGCAAATAAGAGAGCATTGAATAGGTTGAATGAGGAAACTCGTCACCCGTGTTCTCCCTTTTCTTCTGCACCGTAGATAAGTGCACCATTTTTGCGTCGTGGATCCGGGAGCACCCTGGCACCACCCCCCGCAGAAGCTATCTTCCCCATTGGAAGTATGTGTCCGTAAAGCTGTCGGCCCGGCGGGGAAAATTTGGGTTCCGGGTTAGGTTGCACATCTCAGAAGGCTCCGAAAGGGCCCTTGTATTTCATCTCGAAGCGGA